AAAATTTCATATTATCGGCCATTTATTCATTAATGTATTCGGTTACTAGATTTTCATGTGGATCACATCCATATGAATTGATGTTTCGATTTGTTGAAACTCCATGGGAGAACAAGGATGGTGATAGAAGATCCCAAGTAACTCCCCCCGTGTACCATATCCCTCTACTGGAAAAGTATAAAAAAAAAATCCTAAACCTTTTATATAAGTGTCAATTCAGTCCTAAATATTTTAATTCGATAAATTTAATTTTTTAAATCTTTTCACATTTTGTCAATTTATTAGTTCATCTGGCCAATTTTGTACAGGAATTATTGACATGGATGCCGAATATCCTATGTGGCATTGCCAGCGCTGACGTGGACATTTTTTAACAGTTTTTTAATTTTTTTTAATCTTATTTCCTTTCATTTTGGTTGCCGAGGGCCGGCAAGCCCTCGCCCCAGCCCTCGCCAAGATCAAGCGAGGGCCTTCGCAACCCTTGCCAAGTGGCTGGTGGCGGGCAAAATGAAAGGAAAAAAAAGAAGGAAAAGAAAGAAAAAATCATTAAAAATTCAAATTTTTTTTATAAAAAGGGTTAATACCACGAAAAACCCTAAACTGGTACACTTGTGACACATTTACCCCAAACTATTTTTTTGACCATAAAAAACCCTAAACTGGTACATCTGTGACAATTTTACTCCGAACTATTTTTTTGACCATCAAAAACCCCAAACTGGTACGTCTGTGACAATTTTACCGTGAACTTACCACAAAAAACCCCAAACTGGTACATATGTGGCAATTTTACCCTGAATTAAAATTTTAATATTATTATTTTTTTCGATTATTTATTTATTTATTTATTTTTTTCTTTTATTTTTTTTTTCTTTATCTTCAACCTCTGGCCGGTCGCCGGACCGGCGACCGCCAGAGGTGGAAGCTGGCGAGGGCCGCCCTCGTCGGCATCGGGCGAGGGCCGTCCTCGCCCGATCCGGCGAGGGCCGCCCTCGCCCGCGCCGGCGAGGGCCGCCCTCGCCGGCGCCGGGCGAGGGCCGCCCTCGCCGGCGTCGGCGAGGGCCGCCCTCGCCCGCCCGGGGCAAGGGCGATCCTCGCTCGTATCGGGCGAGGGCGCCCTGGCTCGTAGATCGGGCGAGGGCCTCGCCGGTATCGGGCGAGGGCTGCCCTCGCCGGATCTGGCGAGGGCGATCCTTGCCTGCGTCGGGCGAGGGTTGCCCTCGCCGGCGTTGGGCGAGGGCTGTCCTCGCCCGCCCAGGTAAGGGCGAGGGCTGCCCTCGCTGGCTTCGGGCGAGGCAGCCCTCGCCTGGGCGGGCGAGGACGGCCCTCGCCTGAGTCGAGCCTCGCCCGACGCCGGCGAGGGCCGCCCTAGCTAGATCCGGCGAGGGTCGCCCTTGCTGAGTTGAGTGAGGGCGGCCCTCGCCAGCGGCTGCCGAGGGAGGCCCTCGCCGGCTTCCGCCACTGGCCGGTCACCGGACCGGCGACTGGCCAGAGGTTGAAGTGAAGAAAAAAAAAAGAAAAGAAAAGAAAAAAGAAAAAATTTTAAAAAATAATATTAAAAATTAGTTGGGGGAAAATTGTCACATGTGTACCAGTTTGGTGTTTTTTGTGGTATGTTCGGGGTAAAATTGTCATAGGTGTATCAGTTTGGGGTTTTTTATGATAAAAAAAATAGTTTGGGATAAATGTGTCACAAGTGTATCAATTTAGGGTTTTTCGTGGTATTAACCCTTATAAAAATGGTAAAAATTGTTTACGTCAGCATCAGCCATGCCACGTAGGACGGCTGGTATCCACATTAGCAATTTCTAGTCAAAATTGATTGATTGGACTCAATTGGCAAAATGTTTAGGACTAAATTTGCCCAATTGAAGTTTATGATTAAATTGACAACAATATAATATGTTTATGGCTTTTTTGGGACTTTCCCATCCATCGACCGACTTTACTTATTTAGCTTTTTAATTTGTGTCGCATCTCGTTTTGGTTGAAGGAAATTTCTTTCAACGATGCCTCTGATCATTCACATGCAAAATTATTAAAATTGTAATGTAGGTTATATCAATGTTTGTAATACATCAATTAGAAGACTTGGATAGAGGAAAACATGGCGTTTCTCCAAATATACAACCCAAAAAGGAAAAATCCAAACTCTCTCCTTTCTTTCTCTATCTTTTTCTCCTTCTCTTTCATACTCCTTATAATCCGTTTGGTTGCAATAACGAAATGCGCAATAATTATTAAACTATAACATAATAGAGTTGTGATAGTTACTACACCGTTTGGTTTCATGAATAACACATGTGATAAGGATGACCAGTATCGGAAAACCCTAATCAATCAAGGGTCGGTTTGTTTTGCGAAAAATGAATGATTTGAAAAATATTTTTTTAAAAATGATTATTTGTATCGCTTGATATAACGAGTCAATGAAAAATATTTTCATTATCGACAATAATTTATATGTAAACATTTTCATAGATGATGAATATATTTCGTTCATTTATTTTTGTAAGCAATATAAGCAATCATTTTTTTGGAAAAAGTTTTTTAAATCATTTATTTTCGCGAAATAAAAGCACCTTCATTAATTCAATACCTCATTTAAATAATGAATATAGAGTGACGTGGTGCTAAAGTATTATTACTCGATCCACTATTAATGTATAGACATCCTTAAATAGATATACCAAAATCTCCGTTCCGTTTATTCCCATTACAATTTCTAACAATTGTATTAAGAAAAAAATCACTATGCCAGTTACATTTTCACAATTATTTTCTTACAAACAAATAAGTAATGAGAGTCCTCAGTCCATTTTACTCCATCATTGCAGCATTCCATTCCACCATATCAAGCTCAGAATCGTGATAGAAGGTGGGGGGTTGCCGGTCACAGTTAGGTGTGGGCGGTTTCAGATTCTGTACAAGTTTCATTTGAAACCTGAAACCTATCCTTTGGAATCTTCCTCATTTTTTGGAATCTAGAACTTACCCTACGTATTCTGAAACCGGGAATCTACTTTGTCACAGGTTTTAGGGTCTATCCAGGTTTCACTTGTGTAGTGTGTATTTATTGAACAATTGCAATGAATCATCACATTTAATGACTACCACTTACTGCTACAATCCACTGATTACAGCTTATATTTAGAGACGCGGAGAATATGAAATATTTACAAAGTAAAAATTTCAGTCATGAAATGGAAGCTCGGACTAGTGATTCCACATTATACACGTGTTGTCGGATGCCATGGAATACGTAGACATAGATTAAGAAAAACACAAAAACTTGTTTTAGGTTCTGGGTTCTACATACGTAAAAATTGGAATCTATTTTGTCGAAACATGTTTCTCAATTTTTAGAATCTGAAACCTATCTTGCATATTTTGGAACTTGGAACCGGATAGGTTCCCACCGAAACCATGCTCACCCCTAGTAACAGTGGGGCCGGTGGACAGGAATATAAAGTACTTTCAGGCATCATATATATATTTAGATGAGGATATTCAAAGGATATTTCATCTGCTGATTCTAAATTCTCCATCTTAATCTTGCGTACGCATAAACATTAGCCTGAGTAAGCGAGCTTTATTTTATACTTTCGGTCTATGTTAGCCCACTGCACATGAATGCCAATGGCTAGATCATGTGGATCCCATTTCACATTATCGAATGACTCGTACAAAGTGAGCTTAGCTAGATCAGGACCACCTAATTATTATGCCCAGATGCACTGCACTTGCACTACCATGACTCAACCGACAAAAGATGCGTATAAATTTCATATCACTGACATCTAGTGGCGTTTTTCGAACTACTAAAACACGCTCAATTTTCTATTTCTTTATGGTAATTGTTGCGTATTAATTGGGGTTCAGCCGATTCTTCGGCCAAATGATGACGTGGTGTCCAAGCGGCATTTTGAATGTTGGACACGTGTCCATCGCATCAGCAATTCGCTAGAAAACTGTCGATATTTGATCAAAATGCATGAATTGCAAATAGAAGAGAAGGGGAAAAGGTGTCACAAAGTTTTAGATTTATTGTATTTAAGTCAATTTAGTCCTAAATTTTTTTACCAAGAGCCAAATCAGTCATTCTAGAAAATTTTGGCTGGATATTGTTGACGTGGACGCTGATTGACCGACGTGATACGGCTCACACTGATGTAAACATTTTAAAATAATATTTTATTTTTTTTCTTTTTTCCTTTTTTTTCTCTCTCTTTTTTTCTTCCTCCAGTAGCTAGCGAGGGTCGGCCTAGCGAGCCCACATGTTGCCTGGGCGAGGGTTGGCCTTGCCGGGCCTCGCCTTGGCATAGGCGACAACCGGCGAGGTCGCCTAGCTTGACGAGGATGGCCTCGCTAGCGCTCACCCTCGTCCCGACGAGGCCGACCCTTGCCAGTGGCGGTGAGGCCCACTCTCGCTTAGGTGAGGCTAGCCATTGTTCGCCACTGGAGTAAAATAAGAGAGAAAAAAAAAAGAAAGAAATAAAGAGAGAAAAGAAAGAAAAAAAAGAAAAAAAATGGAAAATTGGTAAAAATTATCAATATAAGTGCCGACCGTGCCACGTAGGCCGGTCAGCGTCCACGTCAGCAATATCCGGCTAAATTTAGCAGAATGACCGAATAGGCTCTAGGTTAAAATGTTTATAACTAAATTGACATCATTAAAAATTTTAGAATTAAATTGGCATAAATGCAATAGGTTTAAGATTTTTCTGATACTTTTCCCGAAGAGAAAGTTTAGTGGTCAGGAGATTAAAACAAAGTTCAGCGACTTATTTATTTTGTTGGTCAGAAAAGTTCTGCGACTTCAGTAACCCAAAAGATGTCACCGAACACAGAATTACAAATTCGAAGAATCTTTCAATCTAGAAACACCAATAGCATTTCACGTTCGGGAGACGGAGAAGCCATGACCAAAGTGGCTCAGAAATCTTAGCGTAAGAACCAAGCTGATCCACAGAATCGACCCAGCGTAAAACCTAAGCCATCCCACGAAATCTTCAGTCACCTCTCCCATGAAAACACAGAAGAAGAATCTTACACCCAACTTCTCATTATAAAGAGCTTATTTCTATGCTACTCCCAGCCCCAGAACCATAGCGCACACGCTTTCCTTGGCTCCCTCCTTTGCTCCTTATGTCTTGCCTGAGCCTGGGGCTCCCGCCTCCCAAGAAGGCGTGGAAGATCCTCACCTCCAAGCTCCAGAGGAAGCTCCCCAAGCTCCACAGGCCGAGACCTGTCTACAAATTGCCCAAAGCTGAACTCCTCGCCGCCGCTTCTTCGGGAGCCGACGAGCCCGTCTTTGTTGTGAAGCAGCCCCGTCGACAGAACAGGCAGAGGCCTCAGCGCGTCCAGGCGTCGAGCATTTTCAACGTCCGGCGCCGCGTCTTCAAGAGGCAGCAGGCGCATGTTTTTGTCGATAAGCTCTTCAAGGAGCCTCTGGAAGGGATCTTAGAGCATCATTGCCTGGACACTCTTTCTGTGAAGTATATGCCGAGTCCCAAGAGCAATATCGCTACTATTGATCGTTCTGCTCCTGAGGCAGGAAAGAACGACGAGGATCACGACGGAAGCGATGCAAAGACATGCGAAGCGGACGATATGTGGGAGTCGGTAGGGCTGGCATCGCCGCTGACTCACAGGATCGACGAGAGAGCCGAGGAGTTCATCTCCAAGTTCCGAGCCGAAATGGAGCGTCAGGAGATGGTGGCGCGGAGTTTGTAGTGGATAACTTCATATATATTTCTCCTTTTTCTCTTCTATTTTTTGTTTCCTCCCCTTTGGATTTGTGATTACTGTCGTCAAACTCAGCCTTCTGTTGTGCATATACTTTTGCATAATAGAGCCTAGATTTCCAGTAACACCATACCAATCAAGCATGGCCTGAATTTCGCAATGAATCAACTCGTGAAAATAGCAGGCATCCGTTCACTACCAAAAAAAATTAGGATTTTGCCACGAAAATTTGCGACGACTTTTGCCACGAAAACTAAATTCGTCGGAAATTAGCGACGAAAGTTTTTTTGTCGCAAATTTTCGACGAATTTTGGCACGGAAAGTTATTCGTGGCAAATTTCCCACGAATTTTACCACGAAAATAGTATATAGTGCAATTATTGCCCGGAAACTTGAATTTCGTGGCAAAATTCGTGACAAATTTCCCACGAATTTTGCCACGAAAATAGTACATAGTAATATTTGGCCCGAAACTTGAATTTCGTGGCAAATTTCTCACGAATTTTGCCACGAAAGTAGTACTTATAGTCACATTTGCCCGGAAACTTGAAATTCGTGGCAAATTTGCCACGAATTTTGTCACGAATTTCAAGTATATAGGAGAATTATGGCCCTGGGGTTTTGAAATTCGTGGGAAATTTCCCACGAATTTCAAAAAAAGCCACCAACGTCGGAAATTTGAATTTCGTGGCAAAATTCGTGGGAAATTTCCCACTAATTTTGCCACGAAAATAGTATATAGTGCAATAATTGCCCGGAAACTTGAAATTCGTGTCAAAATTCGTGACAAATTTCGTGCTACGAATTTTGCCACGAAAATTGAACATTGTACAATATTTGCGCCGAGACTTGACTTTTGTGGCAAAATTCCTGGCAAATTTGCCACGAATTTTGTCACGAAAATAGAAACACATAAAAAAAAAGGGCAAAAAATTCGTGGCAAATTTCCCACGAATTTTGCCAGAAAATTTTTCTGGATGTTGATCTTGCTTGTGGGTATAGCTTTCATCATTTTGTATATTAGAGAGAAACTTGCCTGGCCAAGAATTATTATATCCGAGCCATTTAAATATCATATTATATGGTCGCCAAAATCAATAAAATTATATAATAAAGGACAAAAAAAAAAAGCGAATTGAAACGTGTTTCCCGAAATACACACAAAAACAAAATCCACGAGCCGAAAAAGAAAATGCTGCTGCTTCTCTTCAGTCCTCTCTTCCTCTTCTTCCTCACTCGATGTCGCTCGCGACGAAAAACGGGTGAAGTGCAGCAGAAGATAACGACACAGTTCTCTACTTCTCGCCTCGCGCCGAGAGCTCGACATTTTCCTCCCTTCCCCCTGCTGCTCCGGGAGCTTCGACGCGCGCCGGCTCGGCTCGGCTCGGCTCGGCTCGGCCCGGCCGCTGAGGATGCTGGCCTCCCGGCGAGCCTCGCCGCGGTTCTTCTGCTCTCGCCGTGCCGCCTCCGCCGCCGGATCCTCCTTCGATAAACTCCCCCTGGGCGGAGCTCGTGGTGCCGCTTCTCGCCGTTGCCGCCGTTGCCGTCGCGGCTGCTGCTGCTGCTCGGCGCACGATCTCGCCCGCTGGTGGAATCCTCGCAGATCTGGCGCCGTCGGTGATGTCGGTGCTCCAGCGGTTCTTCGCCGGAGGTAATAGAGATTTGCTCCGATTTCTTAGTTTCGCCTGTTGCTTTGATTCTGACGAGACTGTAGTCTCCTCGAGTGGCTTGATTCGATGCTGAATGTTTCGGGTCATTGGGAGTTGGCGCTCGGGAGAGGCAATGGACCGTGTTGGTTTTTCAATGCCTAGCATTTGATTTTGCTCTGGTTCTTCAGAGGAACGAGAGCGGAAGCAGGCTGGCAAGTCACTAGTTTCAGTAGGAAGATAAACTTCGCAACATTTTCAATCGTGTACGTGTTTTCTGACAGAATCCTTCGGGTTCGGGGGCCTGTTAGAAAGATTTAGTTGGCGACACGATTTAGATTAATAGGTAACTTGTGTTTGTGCGGGAGTTCGAGTTGAACTAACCCAAATTTCTGAATTTCCCGTTTATGCGAGACCTCTAATCTGCGTTGCACCAGGAGTTTCAAGGAGCGACTCGAAGTAAAAGATCCGTTCCCACCACACTTGTTTTTGCAAACCTCTTTTCCTTTTAATTGAGAGTTTGGTCCTTGAGCAATCTCGATTCATTGCATGCTCAATTTCGTCACGAGTGCGCATAAATAGACAAATCCGACTTTTGACATCATCCCGCTTCTGTCGACATGGAGTGGAAGTGTAGTTGACAGAAGCATTCACTTGTTGCATGGTAAGTTGCTGACTAAAAACGATTAGAAGGTGATGCCGTTTCAACTGGTTCCAGTGGCCTTCTTCAGAGCATTTATTGAAAATAATCCCATAAGTTGGGTAAGCTGTAGCATTTACTTATACCCATTTTGAGCTCTCAAGCATTGACTCAATGAGCTTGTGATCTTTGATCACTAACCTAAGACACCTTTACAACTTGCTATGCTCACTCTGTAGGACTAGAAAAGCCTTATGGTTTCCAGTAGATCCAAGACAAGTTTCATTTGTTGTTGGTGTCCTCCACTGGCTATATTGGACAAACAACATTCTGTTGAACACTGAGCTCAATGGTCGACCATTCAGGTGTTGAATCAATATTTAATAAATGCCTTCAAAAATGCCTAATGAATGAGAGACATGTGGGTGTAGTATCACTTTGTCAGTCACTTGTTGGCAAATACTATCTGACACATTCCAGAGTCAGGTTATCTATAATTTGTTCCAGAAAAAGAAAAGAGTTAACACGATCGTGTAGCGAATTAGCCGCAGGTTATTTCCATGATTATTGCGTTGGATTTTGTTAAATTTGACTTCTCTTGGTTCTCAAATTGCAGGAAAAAGGATTGATGTCCAACGGTTGTTGCTGAAACTGATCGTCATCTCCTGTCATGTTATTTTCATCATATCTGCTGATTCAAACTACAATTCTGTTCAAGCATCACCAATATCTCCAAGTGCCACCGTGAGCACTCCTGCTATTCCTGATCTTTCCCCTCCAAAGAAGTTACCACACGTACAATGGCGGAGACATATCTCTCCTCAGGCTGCACCTGCACTTGTTTTGTCGCCAGATCATTCACCTCATTATGACCCCTTGATAACTTCTGGTCACCCCCCAACAAGTTCACGCTTGTCCAAGCCATCAATGAAGAGGAGCAGCTTGGTGCCTCCAAGCGCCAGCCTGGCTGATATTGCCCCAACTCAATCCAGTCCTGCTACAGTTCCAGCCACATTGGCTGAGCCACCGCTGTCGCGTAATGTCTCAAGTACGTTGCATCCTCGATGCATTTTCCTATCACTATCTAGTAATTGTCTCTCTCAAAGGTGGGTTTGATAAATGATAACGATTGGAAAGATTCTAGAGTAGTCGTTGATTGTTTTATTACAATATGGCATCGAAGTGATGTTGGGGTAAACAAAATAAATTGGCAACCGGTCCTCTTTGCCTTCTCTTCTTCTATTCAGACTTTTATCATTGTGGGCTAATTGACATTATCATGTTCATTCACCCCTGCTTTTGACAGATTGTTGCCAACCCAACATGGTGCTAAAACGGGGCAGCGAGGGTCGCCATTGTGTTTATCCCATAAAGCTTGACCTTCTGCTGCTAAATGTATCTCAAAATCCTGATGGGAATGTTTTTCTCCAAGAATTTGCTTCTCAGCTGGGCTTGCAAGTTTCTCAAATACAGTTGATAAATTTTTATATGCTCAGCTTTACAAGATTAAATATATCAATGGATATTACTCCGCAAACGGGATTGAGTTTCTCAGCTAGTGATGTATATGCAATCAACTCTTCCCTCTCTTTACATCGGGTTTGTCTAAGCCCTGCGCTGGTGGGTGATTATGAACTTTTGAACATCACTTGGTTCAAGGCACCTCCATCTTCTGAAGGTAAACCCCGCCCAAGGCTTCTGTTTCTCATGTTTGTATCAACTCCGTATACCTTCTAGATATCAAAGAGTTGAAAATGCTCCAATTCCCTGTTTGAATAATCATGGAAGCTTTCTGAAGTTTGATTGCCATTGTATGGTCTAGGCTTACAACAGTGATTATGTAAAAGGAAAATCTAAAGAAGTGATTTGAGTGTATCCGGGTTCTTTGGAAACCGTTAAGAAGTTCAAAGAACATTCTTTGGCAAAATAACCTTTTAATTGCCACGAATTTAGTCACGACTTTTGTTTTCGTCGCAAATTACCAACGAAAATTGAAATTTTTTGTCGCGAAAATTCGCGACTCGACGAATTTTTTTTCGTCCCTAATTTCGTGGGAAATTCGTTGTGCCGCGAATTTTGCCACGAATAATTAGCGACGAATTTAGCCACGATTTTTACAACGAATAATTAGCGACGAATTTTGCCACGAATTTTGCAACGAACTTTGCAACGAATTTAGCCACGAATTGGTTTTCGTCGCAAATTACCAACGAAAACTCAAATTTTTTGTCGCCAAAATTTGCGAAAAAAAATTTGCCACGAATTTTTTTGTTCGTCGCTAATTTCGTGGGAAATTCATTTTGCCTCGATCAATTAGCGACGAATGTTGCCACGATTTTTGTAACGAATAATTAGCGACGAATTTTGCAACGAATTTAGCCACGAATTTGTTTTCGTCGCAATTTACCAACGAAAAATTTAAATTTTTTGTCGCAAAAATTTCCGACGCCGAATTAGCGACGAATTTTTTTTCGTCGCTAATTTGTCGGAAATTCGTTTTGCCACGAATTTTACCACGAATAATTACCGACGAATTTTACCACGATTTTTGTAACGAATAATTAGCGACGAATTTTGCAACGAAATTTGTTCGTCGCAAATTACCAACGAAAATTGAAATTTTTTGTTGCAAAAATTTGCGATGACGAATTACCGACGAATTTTTGTTCGTCGCTAATTTCGTTGGAAATTCGTTTTTGCCATGAATTTTGCCAAATTTTTCGTGGCAAAACCCTTGTTTTTTTTAGTGGTTACTAAATTCGAGTGACGTCCAGGAACAATATCCACCGACTCTTTGGAAACTTCTGATCTAAACAACGGTTCCGAGGAAAGTGAGAAAGCCAGGACGAACACTTTCATTTGAATTTGGACTAGGATGTATCGCGTTATCGGAGTACACAAGTTGTTCGTTTCACAGATCCATCAGGCTCAATTATGTGAAGACAATCTACAAATGAACTTAAAAAGGCATTGCCTCTTTGCTTTTACTCCAAACATGACCACTCCTGTTTGGAGCCACGTGGGACTTCTGAACATCAGGCTATGCAAACGACGATGGGAACATTCATTCTCATTGTTTAAAGTGGAGATAATCTTCTGACCAAAAAAAAAGGGGAGATAATCCTATGGTGTAAGTCCATATGGCGGCCGAGAGAGTAGTAAGCGTGCATGCAAATTCGGTCTCTCTTAATGCTATCAACCGGAGATATCCCTCATCAAGTTAAGCAAAATGTCACCCAAAGTCGCGGAGGTGAAATGAGGCACCAACCTAACTAGGAATGTGCAAAATGGACTGCCTAAACCCAAAATCACCCTAACCGGATCAAACCGATTAGTTTGGTCCGGTTCCTAGGAGTGTCGGTCTGATTTCCAGTTCTTAAAAGTGGACCGTTACTCTCGGTTCCGAGGGAAATAGGACCGAACTGGATCGACCAGACTGACTACAAATACTTTTTTTATTTCTCTAAAAAACTTGTAAAATGTGAACTAAACTTTAAGTGAACTGCATTGACAAAAAGTAGTAAAATGTGAACTAAACCCTAAGTGAACTTCATTGCCATAAATTCATTGAAAAAAATTAGTAAAATGTGAACTAAACCCTAAGTGACCGGTTCCATTGAACCGGACCGAAATCAGTCCTAGAACCAACCGGTCCGGTCCCCAGTTCCCAAAATTAGGAACCGGTCCGTTTCCCGCTTCCACCTTGGAACCGAACCGGACCGGGAACCGATCACCCCTAATCCTAACACATCAAAGAAGTGCAACTAAACATGACTTCATTAAATACATCACCTTCATTATGTCAATAAATAAACTAAACAACCAAAAAGCATAAGAATTCCCCAATATTCAGCTTTGTATTCATCCTATAGCAGAAACAATTGCCACAAAACAGAATTGCCAACACATGCCGCGAGGCTGGATTCAATACAGAATACTAGGAGAACACTAGCATATGGTTATTTTGAGGTAACACAAACGATCACATAACATCCATAGTGTATGTGTGTTTCAAGTAGACCAGCTGACTATTACATGCTATTTATCTACCTAGCTCAGAAATGCTTTCATTGGATCATCATGGTGTATCTTCTTCATCCGATAAGCCTCCATATCCTCAGCAGTAACCTGCAAGTAATAAGTGTTAATGGCAACACAGAAGCCACAAAAAAATTAAAGGAGTGGAATTCCAGTTCTTCTGTGGTACTCCAAAATTGAGAGAGAGGGATACCTCATCCTCCCATCTGACATTGTATTTGCGCTTCCTTTCATCTTTCTCTTCTCGCTTTCTTATATCCTCCTGTGCAAAGTGAATCAAACAAGAATTAGCCGAATTAAACATGGACTGTCTATGACTCAACCGTTGCTTTCCCATTGCTTCTAAAAAAAGAGGCGGTTACCACAAATCACAGGCATAACATTCTGTCACCTTTACCTTACTATACACCGAGCCTCCACTCCCCTCCCCTCCCCTCCCCTCCCCTCTGCAGTGCAGTATACACTACTAAACTAAAAACTAAATTTATTCTGAGCAACAATGTCTAGCTACCCTCAATTTCATCATCGATTTTCAATGGTAACATTGTACTTGTTGATCTATATGAAATTCCCACTTCTTTCCTCAATTATCCTGTTTAAGAGGATATAGGTTGGAAAGGAGAAAATAAAGCATGAACAGAGAACTGAAAATGGTCCAGTTACCTTCTTAAGTGCTTCAGCAAGAAGTTTCTGGTCCAACTCCAAATCATCAGGGACATCAGTTCCCCAGGTAGCCAGCCTCTTCTCCTCCGCTGGGGCAGCCACCTCTGTTTCCACAAATGCCATAGCAAAAACCAGCAAAGCGGTCATAGTATCAAAATTCCACTTTGGAAAAGGATATTACAACCATGATAATCAACAAAATCAAGCAACCAAGAAGCATCCGATAACTTTTTGATCAAAACGATCAAAGAAGCTGAACGAGAGAGGTGAAACCGAGGACAAATAGTTTTTCCAGCAAATGATCCTCTAAGGGCAGAAAAATTAGGGTGAAAAAGTGGACTGACCTTCTGTGGCTCCTTTTCGAGCAATATTTGATTTCATTAGTTCATTTACTGCCTCGGCAGCTTCAATTCCGGCAGCACCTGTACAGTAGCTATTTCTGATAGTCTGTTTGCAGCACTTGTAGCCCCATTGATGATCCTTCCACCATGAACCCCAAACACAAGTGTGGTTATTAATAAAAACATCCTCCTCATACTTGCTTCTGGGCAATGCTGACTCCTGAAATAGCACAAGAGCTGATTAAGTATCTCAATACCGTCGCATGAATTGGAAATATCCTTATAATTCAGGAAAAGCAACCCCAATATTATTAGCAAGGATAATGAGGAAGGTCATAGCAAATTCAGGTGGAGAGTTTTAGCAAGCTTATTTCATGATTGAATTGAAGAAAACCTTAAGTAGATACCCCACCTGCCCCTTAATGATCCTGCCAGCACGATCATATTCCACTTCTCTCTCACTCTGTCCCAGCAGCAGCTCTCTTGGGAGCTCTTCCTCTGAGGCTGCATTGCCATACCTCTCCAGGATGGTATCCTTTGTTTGAAACTTCAATTTTTCCTTAATAACTTTATAGTTCTTGTAAAGCAACTCAGCTTGAGATGGCGCTGCTTGCATGTGGATGTCTTGCCCTTTATCAAATGCTTCCCAAGCATGTATATTAAGCTGCTTAAATTCAAGAGCTTGACCACTATTTCTGTATTGGTTATCACCCTGAAAGTAAGAATCAATTGATTTTAGTAATATATCTATGCCTCAAAAAGTAAGTAGATGAGCTAGAGTTACTGCCAAAAAAATTCAAAGAACTTACCTCATAGAACTTCTCATTTGGATCGGCATCTGGAAGGGGATCCTCACGCATGGACCGAGTTTTGGGATCATAGTGTGCTGAATTAACATCAAGATTCAAAAGATACTTCGCCGTATCCTCCCGAATACGAAGGTTCCTAAACAAATAAATCAACTTAGTACTATCCAGAATATGAAGAAGAGGGGGGAAGAAAATCATTCATGAGAATTTGTAAATCTTCAAATAATCATATAAATACTAACAATTTAAGTAGTTTAATTTTCTTATAAATGTTCCTAAAACATTGAAAGAAAGAAAGACTGCTAATGTCAAAGCAAAAGGATCCACCTACCTAACAGTTCCAGTAATATCCAGAATATGAAGAACAGGGGGGAAGAAAACTCATTCATGAGAATTTGTAAATCTTCAAATAATCATACAAATACTAAAAATTTAAGTGGTTTAATTTCTTATTAATGTTCCTAAAACATTGAAAGAAAGAAAGACTGCTAATGTCAAAGCAAAAGGATCCACCTACCTAACAGTTCCAGTACTTCCACCACCTGTTGTGCGAACACGCTTCTCAACCTTTGCAAAGTCCATCTGCTTGCTTTCATCAACCTTTGCCTCATCCACCCTTAAGTCATCTTCCTCATCTTCCTCATCGCTATCACCATCCTCACCATTTTGGTTATTGTTTTTCTCCTCTAACTTCTTCAGCTGTTGTTCCTTGAGATATTTTCTTCGAGCATTATCCCTAGCCTCATATCTCTCAATCACAAGAGCATAGCTTGACGCGTCATAGCCATTCCACCGGTCTCTCTTACCATCATAGTCAAGCTCAAAGGTCTCTATCTTTTCATCAGGTGCAATGTGTGTGTTTGTCCATTTGGCTCCCACTTTCCGAGGTCTTTCCATACAT